CTGAGATGAATACACAATTTTCAGATGAAGAATACAAACGGCAAATAAATACATGAAAAAATGTTCATCACCACTGGTCATTAGAGAAATGCAAATTAAAACCACACTGAGATTTCATCTCACTCCTCAAAGAATGGCCAAGATCAAGAAAACCACCACCAACAAATGCTGGAGAGGCTGTGGGGAAAAAGGAACTCTCCTACACTGTTGGTGGGACTGTAGACTAGTGAAACCATTGTGGAGTTCACTCTGGAGATTTCTCAGAAAGCTGGGACTGGAAGCCCCATCTGACCCAGCTATTCCACTTCTAGGCATATTCCCAGAAGAACTGAAAGCATCATACCACAGTGATATATGTGTACTCATGTTTATAGCAGCACAATTTGTAATAGCCAGATCTTGGAAACAACCTAAGTGTCCATCAACTGCGGAATGGAGAAAAAATTTGCGGTATTTTTATACAATGGAGTACTACTCAGCTATAAAGAATGATCACATTGAGATACTTATAAATAAATGGACATAGCTTGAGACCATACACGTAAGTGAAATAAATCAAACTCACATGTGTAAATACAGAATAGTTTCCCTAGTGTAAGAAATGATAAGAATACAAAAAAGTATGTGGTAATCATGATTCCCAATCATATTGGTTTGAAGCCACATAATGTTTTCACTCATTAACTGCAAAGGTTTTAACCTGGGTTGTTTGATTTTAATATCGGTGATAGTACGAAAAACAACACATCATAAAAGCTAGTGCTGATTTAATATAGTCTTGTTTTGAAGTCCCATCAAGCTGTTGTACATGGGTTTCTACTGGTTTTAACATGTTGTATCTTACTATATTTTACTATATGCGATAGTATAAACAAAATTTTTTATAGGCAGAGATAATATAGAAACCGTTGTTCGTTTTCTGTTAACTGTTTCTAAATACTCTGTAATTCTTTAATTCTCTTGAATGGCTTCACACCGTCTTGATATGCTTGATGCTATAGTATACAAAGTTATACTCAAATAATCCGAGAAAAGAGGCACTATGGTGACTACTATTATGTTAGATTACCTGGGGGTGAAACACAATGATGCTTAAATTGTTTGGTTCTGACCTGTGTTGTTCTGTTACAATGTCCTCTTTTATCTCAATCTCCACCCCTTTTAAAAAAATTAATCTATTTTTTCTTATTTTTTTTCAATTAAGGGAAAACTAAATTTAAAAATAGCGGGATATATTATAGTAACTTTTTTGTTTTCCTATTAACCTGATTTCAACCGCTGTAATGCTCTCCCCATCTTGTTCTGACTGATTTTACTATATTCTGTTTAGTTTGACAGTATCAAGTTTGAGGGTATAGGCAACCACTTTGAAGGCAATAAGATTTACTATGATGCCCATTATGGTTTGACTATTATCTTCTTTTGAAGTCCTGTAAGGTCTCCAGTGTAGGTTTTATTGGTCTTGTACTGTACTGTTTTGATCAATTCTATTATACCTGATGATATAGGCAACTCTTTTTTAAAATAGCAAGAGGCACAATGGTAACCATTTTTGATCACCTGGTATTCTATTTTACATCATGTACTATGCCCATCCTTCTGTTCTAACCAACTCTGTTCTGTTTAGTCACGTTAGGTTTTATTCTCTTCAAAAAAAGTAATAAGAACTGTGGGAGTAAAAAAAAAAACCCCAAAAGTGTAATTGTTATTATAAAAAAGAGAGGAAGGGAGGGGTGGTCTAAGGGATATAACTGCATGTATGTTTGAGTGTGTAGGATGGAAAACCATATTACTGAGCTTTTGTTAGATCATTGAATGGAACTGTCTGCAATCTCACTGTATGAATGTCCACTTTATATGCTTTAATTTTATGATTTGGACAACTGTTTCTGGGATGACAGTGTGTAACCTATTAACTAGTGGTTTCTTACTGTATATTTTTTTCTTGAAATTCTGTATTACTTGTACCCTGTTACTGCTTTGTTTTTTTTATTTCCTTTCTTTTTTCTCTTTAAATAAATTTTAAAAAAATGAAATCGCAAAGGCATAAATGTTAAAATTATTTAGAAGATCCAAAAAGTAACAAGATTTCTGCCTGGCAAAGAAAATATGTTTTGAAAATTGTTGGAGACCACTACATAGTGGCTGTGAGCAGGACTTAAATTTTACTAATTGGCTTTCTATGTTTATCTGTGAGGCAAGGGGGCCTGGCGGCGGGAGCTGATTCATAGTAAGTGAACCTCTGTGAAATCACTGGTCCTAGCTAAGGCTGTAGTGGCCTGTGAGGACAGAGATACCTCAAAGGGCAGGATAACGCCACAGCTGGGGACACCTTGGCTCCAATGCCAATTAAGTAGTCAGAGACCACAGCTGCAGGCATCTTATGCTTGCTGTCTCATTCCTACCATAAACGTAGATAAGACGGTTCTCTTAAACTGGGGTAATTTACTGCTTGGAGATGTCTTTGAAGTGACTCCCAAGGTCCTCCTCACGGCCTCACTTTCCTCAGTTTCCCCACCTGTCTTTGGTCCTAATATAAGTGGACAATCCACAGAGGGAAGGCTTCATTTAATACTCTTGTGGTAAACAATAGTTTACAAACTATCTTATGAATAAGGCATCTAGTTAGGCAATACACCCAGGGGTGGACTTGGTGAATAAGCCATAATAATGATAACTAAAATATGAAGATTAGTGGACTACAGGTAGCAGAACAAGACCGAACTTCCTCAGGACAGGGAACGCAGCCTTTCCCCGCTACAAGGAGCTGCAGCCACTCACTGCCAAGCTGCCCAGTTTCCAGGAATTTCATGTGCAAAATAACCACTTGCTCCTTAAATTCCCAGTTTCCTTTAAACCTTACATGGTAAGAAAACACACTGGACAACCTGAGTTTCAAATAGTTATTTACATACACAGAGTCACCTCTGAGAGCTGGGCATTAAACAACTGAGCCACTGCTGTGCGCTTATATCTAAACTGCCCTCTGGATTGAGCAGCCACCTGGCCACCCACTCAGGATGATTCTAAGAATCCTCTTATTTCCAATGAAAACTCCTCATGCAGGGACAGCTGAGACCCATAGGGAAGGTTAGCTAAGGGACTGGGTCCTCTAAAAAGGAGAAAAGACAGGGCCTCGTCCTCCCAGCAAGCAATCATGCCGCCAGCTTGCAATTTCACACTTGTGTCTGGGTAAGCTACAGCCTGCATCTTTAAGCTCCCTTCTGAGCAGCTCACTTTCCCAAAACAAATTGTTAAATTTGACCCTGGAAAATTCTTCAATAGTCCCCCAAGCCAGATCCCTAGCAAGAAGTCCAAAAACCAACCACACAGTGGCCCTCGCAAGAGGTGGAGATAGGTCCTCCGCTCCTTAAAATAGTACTGCAACCCTGCTTAGAGTCAGCTCTGAGGGTTCGCACCCCTTTCCCGGGTGTCTGTACTCTTTCTTCCCACACCTGCAACACAGTTTTGCTTGGCGCTGATCTTCTCTGACTACTCTTCCACTTTCCATGTCAAAGAGACACAACCCAGGGAGGTTGAGCCACCAGAGACAAAATTAACATCCTTCTTTGTGCTCAGGACCTCACTCCACAATGTCGTTAAGAGCACGAGTTAGGTTGCTCATCACCGTCAGTAGGGGTCTCACGCAAATAACTAAAGTTGGATAAATTTTTAAGTTTCTGAGTATGCAATGGAGGAGTTCACTGTGTGCTTGGGAAGCTCTCTTCTTGGGTCACATCACCTGTGAAGGAATTTTGCCCTAAACGGGACGCTGTAGCAGTGGGAGGCTGGGAGGCAGAAGGTCATCCTGAGAGAATGGACTCCCCCTTTGTAATGTAACTCCCCCCCCCCCAGCTATAGAACAGAGCAGTAAGGAATGTTTCACTCCCTAATTCCTCCTTGAGATATCGGGGCAGGACAGGAAGGAATGCATCTGCTAGTCATTAACCACAAGATGTTCTGTCCTCTGTAAAGATATAGATAAGTAAAGGAATGTGCTGTTCAAAGGAGACCGAGTTGTACCTGGCACTCAGATCAGACCAGGACCCTCAGTCTCCATGGTTACTCAGCCCCAGACCCCTCGAATCAGCATCTGCCAAGTCCTGGCCGTTTAAAATTAACCAATGCGATCTGCTTCTGTAAACCTGCTTGCTTCCCGCGTGTGCCCTTAAAACCCTGCACAAATTCCCCTCGGGCCCTCTGCACTCGTTTGCCTGGGGGACCCCATGCGCATGGAAATAAACTTTTTTTGCCTCACCAAGAGTTGAGTCCTTGGGGTCTCTTTCCCTGCGGCGTCAGCCCTAACAATCCTTAGGCTCTACCCAAAACCTAAGCTATATGTATGCCTCCACACCACGGGTCCCGCAGAGAAAAAGCCAGACCTCAGTGGTCGGGGGTTCTCTCTCTGCCTTCTTAAAATAAAGGGTCACTTTACTTTGTATTCTGTCTTCTAACCGCGCCAAACATTTTCAACTTGCATTGTTAAACCTTGCTTTGCATTTTCGTGGCTCTTATCAACATCTATTTATTAATGAAGTTAGCAAAACGCATAAACTCAGGAATTTATTTGAATAGAAAAAGGCTGAGGTCTGAGGAGAGGGGATTTGGGTCTGAGAACCTGCCTTGCAGCCATTTATAACAGTCACATCCCCAGCTCTGCTACTGAGAGCACCGAGACCAGGGACCCAGCGCCCCGCAGCCGCACCAGCTCCAGGCCGCCCTGAACCAGGGCCGCCCCGAGCCCCGCTCTCCCCACACCGCTGAGGCGCTGCCGGGCCACACCGGACGGCACCGTGGGCGGGCAGTGTCACGGTGGGGACGGGCTCACGGACACGGCGGTGACCCGGACCCCGCCGAGGGAAAAGTGGCAAAAGCCCCAGAGCCCGGAGGACCTCGGGGTCCGGAGCTCGGCGGGAGGCTGCGGCTCCCAGAGCCGGTTCCGACCGCCTCCTCTCAGACCTCAGCCCGACCCCCTCCCTTCCCCGGCTTCCGTCCCGCACCATCACCATTGCGCGGCTTCCCGGTGTCCCCGAGTCCTTCCCACGCGGCCAGCAGTCGGCTGAAGTCCTAGAAGGCGTGCTAGCGAGCTGAGGGACTTCGCAACGTGCCCAAATACAGAGCCATGACACCGGAAGTCCCACCCACCTCGGCTCACCTGATTGGACGGTTCGTGCTGCCCGCCTCGCCTCTCCAGCCCTGATTGGCTTCTGGTTCACTACCTCTCTGTAACCATGAATAGGATTTAGACTCCGGGAACTTGACTACAGCTCAGAAGATAGTCACCTATGACCTTTTGGACGATACTCCTTCTTACAGTATCAACCTCACCTCGCCTAACAATAACTGCATTTCAACAGTTTACTCCTGGCTTAACCTCGGCTCACCCGATTGGACGGTTCGTGCTGCCCGCCTCGCCTCTCCAGCCCTGATTGGCTCCTGCATTTCAGCAGTTTACTCCTGGCTTTCCAAAGCAGCCCCATTTTCGTTTTTTTCCTTTTTTAATCTTTTTACCGGTACCGGAGATCGAACTCACGACCACCTGCTTGCAAGGCAGGTTCTTATGCCGCTGAGCTAAATCCCCAGCCCCATTTTCTTAATGCACCTAGTGTGCCTTTCCTGGAATGAGGCCTCCTGTGTTCTCAAAAAGTTCCATGGCCAGTGACTTATGGAAGACTCAGTCCCCTGATGTAAGAGAACATTATGGGTGCACGACAAGCAGGACGGAATGGAAAAGAGCGATAGCGGACCTTTCCATGCGTGAACGTTAGGTAATGAGACAACCAGTTTCGTTGCCAAGATTTTCACACTGTCTTAACCTTTTCACTTTTATTCAAGAAAGTGAATATATTGCCATCCCAGTAACAAAAACGGTTATTGTGTAAATGGAGAACTAAGAGTTGAATGATAGCTATATTCTCCAAAAGAGTAGAAATGAAAGGAAACGATGAAATTCTCTTGGACAAGCTTTGTATTTTATTCCAGATTAAAAAGAAAAACCCCTGAATATTGAAAACAAGGTAACTGTTAGGCATGAGTGCCAGCATGATTGCTGAATTTGAGCCCTGCCCTTGGTCCCTTTGGTCACTGGTCACTGACGAGGTAGGGATACTTCAGCACTTCACACTGTAGCTCTGAATTTCCTCATTGCAGTTTAAAATTCTCCTCCTTTGAACACTAATATTCACAAAAGAGAAACTTGTGGAGTCTTGTGATTCTTTTATTTAAAATTTGGCTAGAGAGATGCATAGGATACTTGTAATGCAGGGTGTTGAGTTCCCATTATGATGGGATAAGGCTTGTGTGAACTTTTATTTGTAGTATTGCGTTTTAGAAAGCCTGGTGTGGCAATATGGGGATGCATATGTATATGCAATTGCTGTAGCTTCCTGTTGAACTCTTCCTTTTAATTGTGTGGAGTTACCTTCTTTATCTCTTCTGACATGCTTTGCTTCGAAAACTGAAGTCTTCGCTACATTACACTTGCTGGGACAAAAAAACTGACACCTATACTTAAGGGAGAGAAAGTTTATTTCAGCTCAGAGACTGTAGTCCTTGGATGGCTGTCTGCAAGGCCAAATATCACGGTGGCAGGACCTCACAGGTAGGACAGAGTAACAGCAAGCCTGCCTTTCACTTGTACTCCATACAGGCTGCCAGCCTTTCGTGTGGTGCCATCCACACCCAGGATGGGGCGTCTGTCTCTATTCAGCCACACTCAGATCTATGCTAATTTCAATCAGTGGGCTAATTTAGTAGCTGTTGTTGATTTAAAAGTGGAAGTCAATTTAACACCAGCTGAATTAAAACAGTATGGTGCTAATGATAGATGACTCACCTGAGGAAAGTTACCAGCATAAAAAGAGATGTGGAAAGGAAGAGGGTGGCATTGAGGGTTACCCTTAGTGTTGTTGTTTGGAGCCATTGGTTCTCCTGGAGGAGCTCGTCATGCTGGCTTCCCTGGTATGAACTCGGCTCTTATCACTGGAGGAGCTCAGCACCTTGTCCTGAGAATGATGTGGTTCACTCTGGGGAGCTCTGGTCCTCACTGCACATCACTTCCTGACTCTAGAGGGAAAGCAGTGTTCAGTTTACTCTCTAGGAGAAGTTTGCTACGCTGGCTTCCTGACGTGTACCCAACTGTTCTGATTGCTTGAATACGTCCAGATCTCATTGTCTCTGAGGATGACTGTTGTGCTTTTCAGAGGAGTCCTGGTGCTTATTTTGAGTGTTGTTTCTTGGCCCCACTGTGGAACACTTAACCTACTAGTACAAATGTTTTATCCCACTTGCACAGACTTTCCACCACTGACCTTGGGGCCTGCTCATTGCAGGTGCATGAAATAGACTTGCTGATTCCCTATGGTTCTGTGCCGGGGATTGAACTCACGACCTCGCGCTTGCCAGGCAAGCGCTTATGCCACTGAGCTAAATCCCTGGCACTAAAATTGCAATTTGAATAACCTTATAACTTTTCCTAAATCACATTTTTGCAAATGGATTTTTTTTTTTTTCGGTACCAGGGATCGAACTCATGACCTTGTGTGTGCCAGGCAGAGTTCTGTTTTGAAGTCCTGTATTGTTAACATTGTTTTTTAGGGTTGGCTTTTATTTCTGTTTTCTTTTGTTAGATTATGTTAACTCTGGTGGCAGGAGCAAGTATTTCAAAGATACCAAGATATACTATGGTAGCAATTATTTTGTATTTACTATCGGCTTGTTTTGAAGTCCTTTATTGCATTCATTGTTTTATTTTTATTGTTTCTATTCTATTTTGTTTGAACTTTTCTCTGTCCATAATTATCTACAGCTATTTTGAAGATATCAAAAGGCATTATTGTAACTATTGATTTTGCAATGTTTTGAGGTCCTGTATCACTTACATTTATTTTTAATTGGTTTTATTCTGTTTTATCAAAAAATAAAATAAAAGCAAAGTAAACTGTTATGCAGATTCAGCACAATCCAAATCAAAATACTAACAGCATTTCTACACAAAACTGAAAAATCAATCAAGAAATCATATGGACTCTGAAGACACAGGGAGGAGCAAAAGCCATTCAAGCCAACAAGAACAAGGTTGGGGGCTTCAGAATCCTGGACTGTGAGATACACTGTGAAAGCACAGTGATAGAAACATTACCATAATAGCAACGTGTGGTCTTTGGATCAATAGAACAAAATAGAGATGATGGGCCAGAATCTACATGAAGCCAGAACAGACCCTTTCCTGTGAGAAAGAAGCTTTATTGGGCAGGAGGTGGATTAAGACAGCTGCTGTTTGGCTTTCGGGGAAGGGGTTTTTAAGGCTTGCTGGGTGCGGACTCTGAAGGTGAGTCAGGTGCAGGCAGCAGAGGATGACACAGTCACGACCAGGTACCCTCCTGGGCAGGGTTGACTGTTGCAATCGGAACAGTTTTGGGCAGTATCTTTTCTTGTAGCCCACGTATGAACGACTAACCAGTTGGGAAGTTTCTGTTCTTACAATCCAAACATGAACACGCTCGGGGCAGGCTGACCCTGTATCCCAGCCTTTTGTTTTCAGGAATCAGGTGATGAGGTCTTTTTGGTTGTTTTAGCCTGACTTAAGGTGAAGTGGGAAAGCTAGGCTGGGATGGAGGGTCACCACTGGGATCAGCTGTGGGCACCATCTGGTAAGAGATATCTGACAGGAGCATCTGGTTAAAATTTTGAGTGGTGACTTTGTGACCGTGTTGCGGACTAGGGAGACGAGACATGGTGTGAGCACTAGCATGGCTCCGAGGCCCGTCAGGAGCTCAGGAGGGCTGAGCTGAGAGAGAAGCTAGAAGAGAAACTGAAGGTGGGGCAGTGTTAGCAGCCTGACGCATTGTAGATGGGATCTGAGAGCAGATACAAGATGTAGAGTGGTGGGTTACAGGAATATGAGGGGCGCTCAGAGAGCCTGAGGGTGGTCTACTATAGAGATGGACAGCAAAGTAACCTTAGCAATCAGGGTGTAAGGTAATAATGAAAAATGTAGGAATAACAAAAGGGTTTGGAATCTGCAGGGAATAGGTCTTGTCTGGGAAGATTGTGCACATTGGTTGTCAACTCCCATAGTGGAGACTGCAGGCCTAGGAACACTGGTCTGAAAACTCAGGAGGAATGCTATGGGGCTTCCCTGTCAACAAAGAAAGAGAGGATTTTACCTGAGACATCTAGAGAGACTTGGGGCTGTGAGAGAGATACCTCGGTGAGGGCATGGATCCTGAGACCCATGTATCCTCTTCAGCGGTGATGCCGAGCAGATCAACCAGTGAGGAGTCTGAGGTGTCATTGTCTTACCCTGTGAGAGCGCGGAAGGTGGTGACGTACCTTCTGTCTAGTGGACGGGGCAGTCACACTGCTAGTGGCCTTCTTGGTTGCAAATGGGACTAGTTCCCAGTTCTGGCCACAGGCCAGGGCAGGCTCATGTCCAGTGTCGTCTTTCTGCTGCATGTGAAGCATGGTGGTGTTCCTGGGGCTCAGGTTTTGCCCTGTGTTTTATCTTGAGCCTGGAGTACTGCTGCTACTGCAGCCTCTGTGGCCAGAAGTTAGCGGTGGAGGTCAGCGTGGAAAGCAGAAAAGATTGTCCTGGAATATATCCTTTTTAAGGTTATTCTGTTTTTGTTTGTTGTTAAAGATATGGAAAGTCTTATCTAAGAGGTCTCCCTGGGGGGATTGTGGACCAAGGTCTGACTTTTTGAATTTAGTTTGAATGTCTGGTGTTGTTTGGGAAATAAAACGGGAGCTTAATTTTTTGTTGAAAGGACAGAGTGGAAGTGAGGATAGATCAGAGGGGAAAAAGTGACACGAACATAGATTAGAGGAGAGGATGGCGGCCTTGGAGAACAAGGGGAGCTTTGTGGATATGGTGGGGTGGTGAGAGCAGAAGGGATATTAACGTCAGCGCGATTGTCAGGTAACGGTTTTGGCAGTGAGGAGGGTCAGACAGGTCTGGGAAGGATGGTACAGAACTAAGGTCACTAGCAGAGTATAAAGAAGTCTTGGGCATAAGGGACCACAGACCATTTTCCATTACAGTGACAAATACGTAGATCCCAGGGGACATTAAAGTCAAGTGTATTGGGGGGGGGCAAGTTGATCTATTGTTTAGCTTAAAGAGGGGCAAGCTGTCTGGCAGGG